TAGGGGCCTTAAGAATCAGAAGAGGGGTTTGGGGTATAAAATACTAAAACTCTTGTGTGGAACCCCTCAAACTAGTATAGCTATTTTGTTTAGGCCCCTACATTATCCAGATTGTTTTGCTCGTTGGTTGGGAACAACTTGTGTTATCGCTGTCCTGGACGAAGGCCTGTAACGGCCTGTAGCCGTTGCGTTTATGATCATTAAGCTAACCCAAGGGCTCCAGTTACCTAANNAACCCTATATTATGTACCCCAGTAACCTACTATTTAGGTAACTGGAGCCCTAAGCTAAGCCGTGATGAGACCTAGCTAACTTCCGAAGCTTATTCCTTGCTGCAACTGGGGTGAGAACCAGTTCTCAGGGGCCATACGCGCGTGTTCACAGGGACTTAGGGACGGGTTATGGCCTAAGCCTTATACGTATCATACGCCAAACCCCAAACCTGGAAGCTTCAAGCCCGGAGCTCCCTAAGCCGGAAATACCTCACCCCCGTGGGTTTGGGGTTCAGGGACCAGTTTAAGGGACCCTAAAACGTAAATCCTAAGTCCTAGACCCTAACTTCTTAACCCTAAGTCCTAAACCCTACATCCTAAACCTACGCCCTAAACCTAAACCCTCTATAAATGCTTGACCCTAAGTCCTAAACCCCAACTCCTAAATCCGAGATCCTAATAAACCCTAAGCCGAATCCTCGCCTGGCTTGTCCGAGTTGTGAGAGTGTAAACCCTAAGCCGGAAACCCTAAACCCTAAACCCTAAACCCTAAACCCTAAACCCTCAGCCGGAAACGGTTGACGGAGGGGAAGGGACTCCCTGCCCAGGCAAGGCGACCAAGCCGAGGCTGCGCAGCTCTTGGGCTCCTTGGCCGGCGAGGCCTTGCCAGTTCGGTATTCAGCGACATAATGAATAAGCTCGGCAGATTGGAAACTGGAATCGCGATCATTTCTTACCCGGGTACCCAGGTGACTCGAAGAAGCTGTTTGCCCAAGCAAAACCCGAGGCCCTTGAGCCCTACCCTAAACCCCAAACTCTAAACCATGGAACATCGAGATATATCTAAAGCCAACACGAACTCTATGCTGTGGCCCCATAGAGCCCCAAATCGACACAGACCCCATCAGCTGGAGAATCCCCCCAATTCAATATGTTCCCTACATGACGGGGTAGACGCTTCTGGCCTAACCCAGAAAGCAAGCCCTTATGCACCCTCATGCCCCAAGCCCCGCACCCACCGCCTTGCAACTCAGGAAAAATGGGTGCCAACCTCAAACGCAACCCTGTGCACGGTCAAAACTTGCCGTAGCCCCGACGGCCCAGACAAAGACCCCACCAAACACCTAACCCCTGCATAATTTTGGGGCTTCAGGCTTTCATTGTAGGGTGAACTTCGGCCTGAATCCTTCGAGCGGCCATGTCTCCCTGGAGGCCACCCAGCTGCTGCGGGATGGTGCGAGGGCAAAAGAAAAGCATGCGGCTCATAATTGCATCCTGCAGATTGCAGGCTTGGTTCCTGACTATTTATGACTGTGGCTCCAGCTTTACCGCAGTGGCAACCGATGTTGAACATCCTAAAACAAGGTCACGTGCTGATAAAAA